TGGTATGGAACTGAGTTGCAGCATCTGAATCAGCAGCATTAGTCCAGCATTTGATTGGCCCATAATTAAAACAAATTAAAACGCTTTCTTTCCTGAAGTTGATGTTAAGTTAAATATGTGCCGTCGAGAAAAATCGGAAAATGTGCATTTGATGGGAAAATTTAGTTTGAAGAGTCGTGACTCAGTAGAAATCAGCATCTGATGTGGCCAGCAATAGACAGAAGCTAATGCTTACAAGGGAACGGCATAAACAGAGTCTAGAAATTCTAATCAAGACCTACATCAATTTGGAGATTCTTCAGACTGATTGAGAATATTCTTTTTTTTTTACTTCCTGCGAAATACCTCTTTGAAGCGAGTAAATGAGTCTTAACCTATTGGCTGCTCTATCGAGATCCTTTTGTGAGTGGTGGCAGCAGCTGAATGAGTAAGGCACTGGAATGACAATCAAATGACGATGGTTCGGTTCATGGTGGTGTTCGTACTTTGGCTTCTTACACTTTTGCCTTCATTTCGTGTCAAGTCTCCCAAGTTGCCAGATTATTTCCTTATGAAAATCATTACATTCTGTTTCTCAATTTTTGGCTCTTAATTTTGAAAATGAAAATGCTCACTTAAAAAAACATCGAAATAAAATTATGAAATATAACATCAACAAAAGAACCCAAACACCATTTTGGACTGAACCACTCCACTGCAGCTATCGTAGTGCAGTTCACAATATGAACTCATTAGAACGATTAACTGGTTTAGGCTCATCTACTTCCTTCGAAGAGTATTTCGCACAAAATAAACAGACTTTCAATCAGCATGAACAGCCCTACAATTTGATATATGTGTCGGTTCATTTTTGTCCTTGCCATTTCCGTTTCAGTGTCTAGGGAATCAATGATAGTAGCTTGGAATATGATATCATGCTATGTGATGTAATATAGTGAAACCTGGAATGACGATAGCCTTGGTTTACAACTACTTTATGGTACAACGAAAATTTTCGCAAAAAATTTTGTTCTGGTTTACTGCCACTGCTCGGTTCACGACTACTTTCGATCAAACTTACGGAGTTTTTTGTCATTTTTTGAAGCGAAATCAATCATAGGAAAGGATTAATAAAGGAATTTCAATCGCTTCTAAATGTTTTCGACTCTTGTTAATAGTTTTTGGCCTAATAGCTTTCGGCTCAACAGAAGTCATGTAGTGTTTCAGTCATTTATGACGTTCGACGTGATGTGTTTTCTGATTTTTAATACCGCAATGGGATCGAAGCTGTGTTTGTGAAAAAGAATTCGAGGTCTTTGCAACAACAGTGGAGAGGCTGTTTTGTATTTAAAGAACTCGGGACTAGGAATGGTCAGTAACCAGGTTCCATCAGAAGGATCCTGTGTGGGAGAAGAAACTTGTAAAAGAAAATTGGGTTCTAACGGTAGATTTTCAGGAATGACTATGAAATAACCTATCAAAGCAGTGTTCGGGAGATTATCAAATCAGATGACTGATTCCGAATAAACATCCCATTTCAACTTTTCGATCAAGCGCTGAACTCTTCGAACAGTCTAGCAGTGATATTTTATCCTATTAGTAAAAATGAACAGTGGAAAGACTTGGATGAGTTTGAAATAATTCGTTTAAAATCGATTACAATGTTCCAGCTAACGATCAATGCGAGTTATGACTAAACGGTCTGAATGAACTGAAGTTGTAAGCTGAGATTGCGCTGTATACGGCATATTATTCAGATTGTAAAGGTAATCGTAAGCAAAAAATGCACATGTTATTGTTTTTCATGTGCTGCTCACCTAAACGACAAACCGTTGTTTGTGAATCGATATCATACTCCTCGAAGTTGGTTGGGCAAGTACAACGTTGATCACGACAAACCGTGTTTATACCATAGCATTCCTCATCAAATAAGCATTTACTTCCGATTAATTTCTCTGAACATGTTTATTCTATTGTACGAATTATTCATTTGTTCTTGAATGAATTATTCTATTATTCACCCTTTCTTAATCGCCTCTTCGTTCGGTTCTTACCACTATTATTGATTGAATTTACAGAAAGGAACATGCATTCCACATTTCCCTGAATTTGCTAAGACTATCACTCCCAAAACATGAGCACGCAATTGGATACAAGCCAAATCATAACTTGGCTCAACGACATTGGTACACCACCCTTTTACCGTGAGCAAAAAATTTCCCTTCGTTTTCATAGGTTCGTTTTCCGCTCCCATGGGGAAGTCTTGCTTGAAAACGGGTGACGTGCCAATGTCAGAGAATGGTCAGGTACAAATTTAATCCTTGAACAGAACTGAATATGGCACTTCGATGATATTTTCCTAAGAACTTCTTGTGAATGCTTACTGAACGTGACGTGATCAGAAATTATGAAATAAGCCATTAGGAGAATGATAATGACATCGACAAAATGAACTTAAAATTTAATGAACGCTTTAAAACACGCATGATCGCTGAGTTGAGTTGAGGTTGGATTGAAAAAAGAACTGAAATAAAAGTTAAGTAACAAAAAACATACGTGTGCAAGGAACATCGAATGCTTGAGCAATACAGATAATAAGCAGATGAAGATGAATCATGATAAGAATAAAGATAATGGAAATACGTTGTTGATATTGAAATAATTTCATTGTGGTCATCATTTCTATCGTCAAATAAATCACATCAATCTCTGTTCAATTCTGTTTTAATTCACATATGTATGTCTCTAATGCATCCAACTTGTATCTACATGCACACAAACACAAACATTTGTACATAAACACACTCGCTCGTTTCATTTTCGATGTACATCCGAAATGATTATTTATTGTGATTATGAGACGGTGCACCACTCACCCTGTTCTCCGCTCATGAAACTGGGTCGAGTATCTGGTTATCATCATCACCATTATCATCATAACCGTCATCGTCCTCGTCATATTCACTCATTGGTTTTCATCTTATAATACCATATTGATTAATGCATCGATACATTCATATTCAACTCGTATTTCATCACTCACCACACCTCCTTGACTATGGGATATCGATTAATGTGGAGACATCAACTTATCACTTCAATATATCGATATAATTAATGCACTCTACCATCACACATAAAAGCGGTTCTCATAAAGGGGTGAACTCCCTCCTGGAGGAAACTTAAGGGTGTGAAGGTGGAATTGAGGAGGTTGGAAAATCACCACTGATTGATTTTTTCGTCATAATCCATCCAATTGTTTTCGAAATGCTTGTTTGATCACACAGAATTGATTGCTTCCTTTGCTATAACTGATGAATTTTTCGCTGCAAACTTCTTGAACAATGTATTTCCTTCTGATTTGTCACTAAGAAGTAATAGATGATCAGAGGAAGAGGAACTGCGGTCTCGTCGATTATCAAAGGAGGAGGAATGGCGGTCTGCCATAAGGCCAATAGAAGGCGAGGAGCGCAAGAGCTTGGAAACTACTGACGTGAACAAACATTATTTGTTGTTCGAAATTATCTTTTTCATGTCAGATTTCATCAATTTTACATTAAATAAATCTCTAGCGACCGCAATGTACTTCATCAATTAGGGGATTAGAGGAGGAAAAGCTAAGGTCTAGACCTATAGATTAATTTCGACTGAGACTCTGGTGTATGCCTAGTGCATACGATGTTTGAGTGATGGAAATTTTGTGGGAAAAATATAATTTAATCCTTAATGATGTTGTTAAGGCAATTGAAGACGACATTTGATGTGAGTGCATACAAAAATTAGAACTTGATTTTGCCATTCGCAACTTATATTTTGAGTTATTCGAAAATACTCATGAAACGAAATTAGTTAAGTTAGTTGAATGCAAGCAGGATTAAGAATGAAGAGGGAGACGATTGACCAGTGCAATTAATAAGATTTATGTCGTAAAATAATATGTTCCATTTCCTTGAAGTGTCAGTGGGACTGTAATTTGAGGATTTTTCGCAGG